TTAAGTTTGCCTCAACCAAATGTTATGAAACTTATACACAAAACTCAGATCAAGTTCAAATTTGGGTAGCGTCACTTTTACTGTTCTTCAGTTATGTCCCTTTATGATATGCAAGCGGGGGCATCATCTGTGTCCACATGTGGACACTATCCACATTTATTTTATAAATTTCTGATATAACATTGAGAAGTTAATTATTATTTGTTTATAGCTATAGTCTGACAACAGATTTACTAAGTATTGCGCAGCAGCACAGTGTATTGCACAACAGCAAGAAATCTTTAATTGAATATAAATTCAATTCATATAACCAATTTCAAGTTCTTTGACTACATTTATTCAGAAACCTATAATATGTCAAATATTTAATTACAATCCAAATCAGACTTGTATCAAGCTTGAATATTGTGTCCATTTTTGCCCCAACTGTTCAGGGTTGGACCTCTGCGAGCGTATCCAGCTGCGTTCAGCTAAGCAGTTTATTTTCGTCATGGTTGAAGATTTTGACTTGATATTTTTATGTAGTTTACACCATGACAAGTTATAGATCAAGTTAGAATTTTGTTCCATTTCAATGAATTTGTAACCGGTAGGGGACTATGTATTGCCATGCAATACTCACAGAATGCTTGTTAGTCCCCTACCGACGAAGTCAAAGGGGACTTTAGGTTTTCACTCGGTCCGTCTGTCCATCTGTCTGTCTGTCCATCCGTCAGTCCGGCAAATCAGCTTTCCACACTTTTACTTCGTTCTTGAAGATATTGATTTGATATTTGGTATATAGTTTTATCATGACAAGTTATAGATCAAGTTCAAATTTTGTTCCGTCTGATGATTTAGTCCAGATTTATGGACCATAACTCTGGACCATATCTAATGTTAGAGTACTACATGTATGTTAAACCATATTTCTGTACAAAGGGAGATAACTCATTTATTTAAATGCTAAAGATATAAAAAAAAATTATGATAATAATGTATTTTTATACGACCGCAAAAATTAAAAATGTTTTGGTCGTATATTGGTATGACGTTGGCGTCGTCGTCGTCCGAAGACACATTGGTTTTCGCACTCTAACTTTAGTTTAAGTGAATGGATCTCCATGAAAATTTATTTTAAGGTTCAAAACCACGAAAGGAAGGTTGGGATTGATTTTGGGGGTTATGGTACCAACAGTTAAGGAATTAGGGGCCAAAAAGGGGCCAAAAATAAGCATTTTTGTAACTTCCAGACAATAACTTGTGTGTAAGTGTATGGATCTCTCTGACATTGTACCACAAGGTTCCATATCACAAAGGGAAGGCTGTAATTGATATTGGGGGTAATTGCCTCAAAATTTTAGGAATAAGGGGCCAAAAAAGGGGCAAAATACAAGCATTTTTCTAGTTTCATGACAATAACTTGTGTGTAAGTGTTTGGATATTTCTGAAATTGTACTACAAGGTTCCATATCACAAAGGGAAAGCTGGAATTGAGTTTGGGGGTAATTACCCGAAACGTTAAGGAATTGGGGGCCAAAAAGGGGCCAAAAATAAGCATTTTTCTAGTTTCCAGACAATAACTTGTGTTCAAGTATATGGATCTCTCTGAAATTTTACTGCAAGGTACCATACCACAAAGGGAAGGCTGGGATTGAGTTTGGGGGTGATGAATCATAAGAGGGTTCAAAAAATTTTGGGGGGGGATTTTTTTTTCTTTTCTTTTTTTCCTTTTTTTTTTCTTTTAAAATTTTCCATTTTAAGTTGGTTATTTCTGATTTATATTTAAAAGCAAATAATAATGATATGGTAGGAGATACACACCAAACAGGATGTGTAAATTATTATATAATAAGTATTGTGCAATAGCAAGAAATTTTCAATTGCACAGTATTGCACAATAGCAAGAATTCTTCAATTGCACAGTATTGCGCAATAGCAAGAAATCTTCAATTGCACAGTATTGCGCAATAGCAAGAAATATCCAATAGCACAATATTGCGCAATAGCAAGAAATTGTCAATTGTACAGTATTGCGCAATAGCAAGAAATATTCAATTGCACAGTATTGTGCAAAAGAAGATACTTGGTTCTGTTTTCAAATTGGTCTACATTAAGGTCCAAAGGGTCCAAAATTAAACTTAGTGTGATTTTAACAAAAATTGAATTTTTAGGGTTCTTTGATATGCTGAATCTAAACATGTATTTAGACTTTTGATTATGGGCCCAGTTTTCAAGTTGGTCCAAATCGGGGTCCAAAATTATACTTTGTTTGATTTCAACAAAAATTGAATATATGGGGTTCTTTGATATGCTGAATCTAACCATGTATTTAGATTTTTGATTTTTGGGCCCCGTTATCAACTTTGTCCACATTGAGGTCAAAAGGGTCCAAAATTAAACTTTGTTTGATTTCATCAAAAATTGAATTCTTGGGGTTCTTTGATATGCTGAATCTAACCATTTATTTAGATTTTAGATATTCGACCATAATAGGTGAATGTCCAATTTAAAATTTTTAAGTTCTTAGACCACATTCATTCTGTGTTAGAAACCTATGCTGTGTCAAATATTTAATCACAATCCACATTTAGAGCTGTATCAAGCTTGAATGTTGTGTCCATACTTGCCCCAACTGTTCAGGGTTCGACCTCTGCGGTCGTATCAAGCTGCGCCCTGCGGAGCATTTTATTATTAATGTATATATTTCAATACATTACATTGTGTAGATAAAAGTTGTTGACATTTTATAGATAAGTTACAAATCTATATTAGTTTGTAACAAATGATAGAAAAAATATTTGAAACTATTAATTATATTTGATTATAATTTGAAAATAGATATACACTGTATTACATCATATCTAATTTTAGAGAACTATTAATCATATCTAATGTTTTTTCACTCATATAATCAGTTTTCCACACTGTTTTTAGTCATGCTTGAAGATATTGACATGATATTTACTTTTTGTTTACACCATGACAAGTTATAGAACAAGTTAGCATTTTGTTCCAGTAAAATGAATTTTTACCCTGTAGGGGATTATGTATTGCCATGCAATACTCTCAGAATGCTTGTTTTATAAAAGTTGCATCTCCCTCAAACAAAATGTAGCTGAGAATGATTTAGCTTTTCTGGTTAGGTTTATTTGGCTCACAAATGTTTTATGCCTTTGCTTGTTATATATAATATACAAATATACAGTAATTTACATGATTTATTTACATGTATTATGTATATGTGGCTAGTGCTATAAATGTACCCGGTGAGCTCTTGCAGGTTATTGGTTTTTAACCAGTAGATGTTTACTTTACTTGTATTGTCATCATTATTTTCAGAAATCTTATGCTTCTTTGTGAAGTTTTTCAAAATATCCTGAAAAAAAAACTAACAATTGAAAAAAAGTTTTATTGCAGCCGTGTTGTTGAAGGTTTTTCAGGGTCGTAGCATCAGTGTTTTCCCTAGGCTATTCAAGCATTACGGTACCGCTACGCATAAATTTCGACCGCCATGCTTTCATCATTGCCGCAATGCATCCCGCTATGTGTGAAAATTATAACTGTGTAAAATATTTATTATCGATATTTTGAAAGGGAAGTGACAAGTAACAACACTCCACAGGTGTTTTAAACTCATACGACTGATAATTGGATGCATCACGTCGTGCGTGCCGAGATTTTACAACCTTTTTGATTAGTTGGTTATACATCAAGACTTCAGTTACATAAAAGAAGTTGCCAGTTAGTTGATAAATAAATAGTCAGATTAATCTCCAATGCATAACTTTCTGTGCTTAATAAAAAGTTTAACCTTTTGCAGTATAAATTTCACCTTTAAAACGGGTGTTTGACATCGTTATTTTACTGTGATCATTAAAAAGTAGAAATTTAAAATTTGGTATAGTCTCTGGTATTATAAAATAAAACTAACGTAATTTCACCGAGAATGGGCAAAACTTTTGTTTTAATAAAGTTTCGCAGTTTTTTCATCGGCTATATTTACATCGATGAATTATTTTTTGATTGGTCACAACAATCAGTTATTTTTAGATTAGTCGCGGTTGTTTGATTATATCAAAGAATACACATCACCGCCACCAATTGGTCTTCTTTTGCCAGTTTCAACAGCTGATTGTGAAAGGTGTTTTTCATGCTTGAACAGAGTTAAAACACCTTTGAGAAAAGACTATGCAAAAAAGTGCTGAATTGCTTAATGCATATATCAATTGAAGGACCAAAGGGGGAAGATTTTGATTTTGAAAAATGTGTGGTGACCTTTGGAAAGTTGAAACAGAGGAAGATATCAACAAAATAATGTACATGGCATTAATTTGTAAATAACTATTGCAGACTGGATTATTTTTATTATTGTTTATAAAGTCTTTCATTAATTCCTCTCATCTGTAATAGATACTTTAAAGTTCCATGACTTATATGAATTGCTGTACCTATAATAAAACAATTAGATTGGTATATGGCTTTAAACATATAAATTATGTTGTGTAACTAATTCTGGAAAAAGAAGCGTCGCGTGCCGCGTTGCAAATTAAATTCACCATGGACCCACCATGCATGAAAAATTTTCTAGGGAAGACACTGAGCATATAGACCTAAATCAACCCTTCTATCATCTATTCTACATTGTACTTTCAGAATAATACAAGGTTATTTTACTGAATATTATCTCAAGTAGAATATTATATATTACACTAGCTACCAAGACCAAGTGCAATTTACATGTCAGGAAGAACAAAATTATTGACTTATGATAGCCCAATAGCCATTTTATTTCTTATCCAAAGCCTTTAAAATACAAGGACATGATATTAACTGATTACTAATGTTATCATAACAATATCAAACTGCACATATACCATGGAATATTGCGCACTAACTGCTGTGTTTATTCAAAATGGCACATGCACATAATGCTGCTGTAGCAAAATAATTACAAAATTTATACATGTACATGTATGTTCAAATAATTTATATCATTTGAATGTTGTTTTTTCTTTCAGATCTACTTAAGTAAAACAAGATGTCTCGTTTATACCCAACTTTAGAAGATATGAAGGTTGACCAGATGCAGCAGGTAGGATTTAAATGTCATTGATTTGGAAAAGTCCCCTCACGGCTCTCTGTTTATGTTGTTTATTAACTGAGTTTACATGTATTTTGTAAGCTACTTGGTGATTATTATCTGTTAGTGTGTATATCATTACAGCTTCTGTAAATTATAAATTTATGATGCACATTCTTTACCTTATAATTATACCCCACGCAACGAGTTGCGGAGGTTATAATGTTTTTGACCCGTCAGTCCGTCCGTCAGTCAGTCCGTCCGTCCGTCAGTCCTGTTTCTTGTCATCGCAACTTCTCTCAAACCACACAACAGAATTTCACGAAACCTTTTTAGATAAAAAGGACATATTATGTAGTTGTGCATATATATATATCGACAGGAAATTACGATTCAATTTTTTTTCTAGGAGTTACGCCCCTTTGAACTTATTTGCTTCAATGTACTACTGCAACAGTTTGTTATCGCAGCTCCTCTGAAACCACACAACAGAATTTCATGAAACCTTTTTATACGACCGCAAAAAAAATTTTGTGGTCGTATATTGGTATGACGTTGGCGTCGTCGTCGTCCGAAGACACATTGGTTTTCGCACTCTAACTTTAGTTTAAGTGAATGGATCTCTATGAAATTTTACCACAAGGTTCAATACCACAAAAGGAAGGTTGGGATTGATTTTGGGGGTTATGGAACCAACAGTAAAGGAATTAGGGGCCAAAAATAAGCATTTTTGTAACTTCCAGACATAACTTCTGTGTTAGTGTATGGATCTCTCTGATATTGTACCACAAGGTTCCATATCACAAAAGGAATGCTGGGATTGATATTGGGGGTAATTGCCTCAAAATTTCAGGAATTAGGGGCAAAAAACAAGCATTTTTCTAGTTTCATGACAATAACTTGTGTGTAAGTGTATGGATCTTTCTGAAATTGTACTACAAGGTTCCATATCACAAAGAGAAAGCTGGAATTGAGTTTGGGGGTAATTGCCGAAACGTTTAGGAATTGGGGGCCAAAAAGGGGCCAAAATAAGCATTTTTCTAGTTTCCAGACAATAACTTGTGTTCAAGTGTATGGATCTCTCTGAAATTGTACTGCAAGGTACCATACCACAAAGGGAAGGCTGGTATTGATGATGGGGGTAATTGCCTCAAAATTTTAGGAATTAGGGGCCAAAAAGGGGCAAAAAACAAGCATTTTTCTAGTTTCAGGACAATAACTTGTGTGTAAGTGTATGGATCTTTCTGAAATTGTACTACAAGGTTCCATATCACAAAGGGAAAGCTGGGTTTGAGTTTGGGGGTAATTGCCCTAAACGTTTAGGAATTTGGGGCCAAAAAGGGGCCAAAAAACAAATTTTTCTAGTTTCCAGACAATAACTTGTGTTTAAGTGTATGGATCTCTCTGAAATTGTACTGCAAGGTACCATACCACAAAGGGAAGGCTGGGATTGAGTTTGGGGGTGATGAATCATAAGGGGGTTCAAAAAATTTGGGGGGGGATTTTTTTTTTTCCTTTTTTTTTTTCTTTTAAAATTTTCCATTTTAAGTTGGTTATTTCTGATTTATATTTAAAAGCAAACAATAATGATATGGTAGGAGATACACACCAAACAGGATGTGTAAATTATTATATAATAAGTATTGTGCAATAGCAAGAAATTTTCAATTGCACAGTATTGCACAATAGCAAGAAATCTTCAATTGCACAGTATTGCGCAATAGCAAGAAATCTTCAATTGCACAGTATTGCGCAATAGCAAGAAATATCCAATAGCACAAGATTGCACAATAGCAAGAAATTGTCAATTGTACAGTATTGCGCAATAGCAAGAAATATTTAATTGCACAGGATTGTGCAAAAGAAGATACTTCGTATAAATTGCTTATTTCTTGACCAATTTCAATGGGGTTTTATTCTTGAATTCTTGGGGTTCTTTAATATGGTGAATCTAACCGTGTATTTAGTTTTTGGATTTTGGGCCCCGTTTTTAAATTGGTCCACATTGAGGTCCAAAGGGTCCAAAATTAAACTTTGTTTGATTTCATCAAAAATTGAATTATTGGGGTTCTTTGATATGCTGAATCTAACTGTGTATTTAGATTCTTAATTTTTGGTTCCGTTTTCAAATTGGTCTACATTAAGGTCCAAAGGGTCCAAAATTAAACTTAGTTTGATTTTAACAAAAATTGAATTCTTAGGGTTCTTTGATATGCTGAATCTAAACATGTATTTAGATTTTTGTTTTTGTGGCCCCGTTATCAACTTTGTCCACATTGAGGTCAAAAGGGTGCAAAATTAAACTTTGTTTGATTTCATCAAAAATTGAATTCTTGGGGTTCTATGATATGCTGAATCTAACCATGTATTTAGATTTTTGTTTTTGTGGCCCCGTTATCAACTTTGTCCACATTGAGGTCAAAAGGGTCCAAAATTAAACTTTGTTTGATTTCATCAAAAATTGAATTCTTGGGGTTCTTTGATATGCTGAATCTAACCATGTATTTAGATTTTGGATATTGGACCATAATAGGTGAATGTCCAATTTAAAATTTTTAAGTTCTTAGACCACATTCATTCTTTGTCAGAAACCTATGCTGTGTCAAATATTTAATCACAATCCAAATGCAAAGCTGTATCAAGCTTGAATGTTGTGTCCATACTTGCCCCAACTGTTCAGGGTTTCGACCTCTGCGGTCGTATCAAGCTGCGCCCTGCGGAGCATTTTATTAGATAATAAGAACATACTATGTAGATGTGCATATAGACAGGAAATTACGATTCAATTTTTTTTCTAGGAGTTACACCCCTTTGAACTTATTTACTTTAATGTACTACTGCAACAGTTTGTCATCGCAACTCCTCTGAAACTACACAACAGAATTTCATGAAACCTTTTAAGATAATAAGGACATACTATGTAGATGTGCATGTTGACAGGAAATTATGATTCAATTTTTTTTCTAGGAGTTACACCCCTTTGAACTTATTTGCTTTAAGGTACAACTTCAACAGTTTGTCATCTCAACTCCTCTGAAACCACACAGCAGAATTTCATGAAACTATGTAGATAATAAGAACATACTACGTAGATGTGCATATCGACAGGAAATTACGATTCATTTTTTTTCTTGGAGTTACGCCCCTTTGAACTTATTTGCTTCAATGTACTTCTGCAACAGTTTGTCATCTCCACTCTTCTGAAACCACACAACAGAATTTCATGAAATTTTGTAGATAAGAAGGACATTCTATGTAGATGTGCATATTGACAGGAAATTATTATTCAATATTTTTTCTTATACAATTTTTTTTTGTTACACTTATTTAATTTCTCCAATGACAATGTGGGGACGTGGGGTATGTGAGCGTGCTCACTAAGGTTCTTATATATTAATACCTTTTTAGTGTACGTCATGTAAAATTGCTGTGTACCAATTTATGTGTAAAATGTACTTTGTTTATAATTAAGAAAATGCCAACAACAAGTAAAATTTATCTTTTATATTTAAGGCTCAGCATCAGTATGAGTCAGCTGCAAGTCAACCAATCACATACCCACAACAAGGGGCACCAGCTTCCTACCCACAACAAGGAACAGCAGCTCCCTACCCACAGCAGAGTGGTTCATCTCTATATCCATCACTGGGAGAATACATGGGATTAAATCTCACGCCACAGTTTGTTGAACAAAACATGCCAGTGGTAGCACATGTAAGTTTTTAATCCCTAAAACTGATATCTTTTTTCATAATTTACATTTCTATTTAAAAAGTTGTGAAATAAATAGTTATTTAGCCTAAAATGAAATGGAGGACTAACTTTCAATATTAATTTTTTCAATCTTTGTACATTGTACTATTTGTATTTTGCTTACCTTTTGAGACATTGAAAGTTTATAGCACTATATCCTTTTCCATCATATTTTATTATGCCCTGCTTTCGGTTCTGATCGGTACTGTGATTCATCTTTTACTAAGATTATTTGAGCTATTTTTTTTTTTACATAAAATATGAAACAATAATGGTATATTTTAGTTAAATTCCTATCCATTTTCTATTTTGGAAAGCTGCTGGAAGCACTACCATGTCAAGACAAGCTGTGAATAGATTAATAGAGACTGCTAAAGATCTATCAACAATAAAATATTCTCTCAAGGAATAAGATTATGAGTTCAAAAGAATGAAAACTATTTGGAGTCAATGTTTTAATCTTATTTTGATTGGAAAATCAATTGTATAATTGTGTGTAATAAATGTTTCAGAATATGCAGATAGCTACTACACCAAGTCCTAGTCAGTCTATGATTGCTCCAATAACTGGACAAGGAAACAAAGGTTTAGTGAGAGCTGAAATCAAAGGAGGTGTTAAGGAACTAGTAGCATGCAAGGATAGTGAAGGCAAAATAGGTCTAAGATTACGTCATATTAACAGTGTAAGCTATTTATCAGAAAAATACAAAATCACAAAAAAATTTATTAAATGAACATTTAAGTTTTCTATTTTTCAGCTGCATACTAGTTACATGAATACTAAAAAGTTTTCGATCAAATAATTATCTCAGTAATAGAATTATTTTGTATTTGAATTTGGTAAAACCAGATTCTTATGTAAATTTTGCATTTTTAACCGGATTTACGAAGGAAATATCGGTTATTAATTTTTTCGGGGCGGGTGCCAAACAGTGTCTCCACAATAACATGAATACGCTTTGACAATTTTTTTTCAAATTTTAATATGTTGTTTCCTGGGACTTAATGAAGGTTGAGTTCAATTTTCAAGATGTTAGTATTTCTCCTTTTTGAGTTATCGCCATTTTTAATATCCAAAATTGGTATTTTTAAATACTTTTCTCTCTTGTTATCATATTATGACTAAGGTAAAGCATATGGTAAAAGTCTTATCTCACAATTATAATTGGAGTAACAGATTTATTTGAAAATTTTCTGTTTCCTGATAAGATCTGTAGGACTGTATATATAAAGTTTGAAATTTACTAGTAGGACTGTATAAATGAAGGTTGAAATTTACTGTTCATTATTAGACACTTTGAAGATAATTACAGATAAGTTTTATATGTTTTTAAGAGATAGACATTTTGAAGTTAATTACATTAAAAATAATTATGTACCTAATGTTAGAGTACTTTGTTAAAAGGTTAAACCATAGTTCTGTTCAAGGGGAAATAACCCTTCAATTTGCAAGCATGATTTTCATTATTAATTTTTATTTTCTTTGGTAAATTGTTTGAAGAATTTTATGGTATGTTTGTTATTCTGTAAAAACTAATTTTCTGAGTGATATATGTATACAATTGTTTTGTTGTGTCTGTTAATTTTAATTTTTACTTGATCCTGTGTGGGGTTCCAGATTTGAAAATTCATTAGATAATAATCTATTATTTATAAGTTAAAAGTTAAAATTAAGATAATATAAGTTGCAGACCTATATTAGTATGTTACAAATGAAAGAAAAAATATTGGGAACTATCAACTATATATATAAAGTTTGATTTTGATTTATACACTAAGTGATAAGATAACACACATCTGGTAATTTTCAATGCAATCACCCAATTATAATTGGAGTGACAGATTTATTAGAAAACTATTATTTATATTTGATTATAATTTAAAAATAAATATAACATCATAAATCTTTACATCATATCTAATTTTAGAGTCTATGGTTAAATCATATTTAATTATAGATTAACATGATTAGTTCATGGAAATAAAGTTTAAGTTGTTACCATTTGAACAGAAATGGTTTAACTAAGAAGTATTTCATCAAAAATTGAATTCTTGGGGTTCTTTGATATGCTGATTCTAGTAATGCACTTAGCATTTGGATATTTTATTTTTATAAATGTAAAGAATGTGACAAGATAGGAATCAATTTTACTGTAAAATGTTTCTGCAATCACATGAAATAAACTCAAATTATTTCTAACCATTGGGGCTTTCCAATAAATTATTACAAAGATTTTTAAATAGCAAATATATAAATAAACAGTCTGCAAAAAAATCTAGTTATGGTCAGTACAAGAATCCCTATTTATAAAATAGTAGTATAATGGTTGAGCAGTAGTAGCTTTACCTCCATTTGATCATATTTGAGGATACAAGATTATTTCAACAATACTTTTTATACGCCTGTTTACGGGACGTATTATGGTATACTGTTGACCGTCTGTCCGTCCGTCGTCAACATGTCAGACATTAACTCAAAAACCCTTTAACCAATATGCATGAAACTTTGTTGAATTGTTAATATCTATTGACGTGAGCTCCCTTTCGTTTTTTATAAATTTAGGATTTACTGTTTCCGAGTTTTGGGGTTTTATTCATTAAGAAGGAGGGATTTTCCAGTTTGTGGACAATAACTCAAAAACAATTTCACCCATTTGCAAGAAACTTTGGTGAATTGTTTATTTCTATGGACATGAGCTCCCTTTTGATTTTTTTAAATTTTAGACTATACGTTTCGGATTTATGGGGTTATATTCATTACAAAAAGGGGGATTTTCCAGTTTTCGGACAATAACTCAAAAATGTTTTCAGCATTTTTTATGAAACTTTGGTAAATTGTTTATATCTATTGTTGTAAGCTCCCTTTTGATTTTTATAAATTTAAGATTTTACGTTTCTGAGTTATAAGATTTTATTCCTAAAAAAAGGGTTGATTTTCAAGTTTTTGGACAATATCCTTAAAGTGCTTATAGCAGTTTTCATTAAACTTTGATGACTGATTTATATCTATTAAGATAACCTCCCTTTAGTTTTTTTATGAATTTCTGATATAACATTGAGAAGTTATTGTTTGTTTATAGTCTGACAACAGATTTACTAAGTATTGCGCAACAGCACAGTGTATTGCACAACAGCAAGAAATCTTTAAATGAATATAAATTCAATTCATATAACCAATTTCAAGTTTTTGACTACATTTATTCAGAAACCTATAATATGTCAAATATTTAATTACAATCCAAATTCAGACCTGTATCAAGCTTGAATATTGCTTCCATTTTTGCCCCAACTGTTCAGGGTTGGACCTCTGCGGGCCTATCCAGCTGAAGCTAAGCAGTTTATTGTTTATAGTTGCATTCACTTTTATGAACAATTTTTATGCCCCTGCAGTAGGTGACAGGGGCATTAAGTGTTACCCTTGACCTTCCGTCTGTCCGTCCCATTTTCGTTTGTTTGAAGCTTGAGCGGCAGGCATTCATGTCCTCCGACACATTCTTCTTTTATTTAAGAATACTGTACTGAAGTGAATCATATTTTTTTCAGGGTTTGTTTGTTGCTCTTGTACAAAATAATTTGCCAGCAGCTTTAGCAGGATTAAGGTTTGGGGACCAGATTTTACAGATCAATGGACAGAATGTAGCTGGGTGGAATACAGATAAAGCACATGAATTCCTGAAAAAAGCAAATCCTGACAGAATTACATTTGCTATAAGAGACAGGTAATATACTGGACATTCTATCAGCACTTTTACAAAATTAAGTATTTACTTGACAGATTCTGCTACTTTTTAAAATAATTTCATAGATGATCATATTCAACTTTTTGCTTTGGTTTTCCTTCTTGTATTTGAATTTTATTACATCTGTGATATTGGTTTTTTGATTATATATATAATTTTATGGATTTATTATGATTTTATTAAAATCTCAAAATGAACAGAAAACAGAAATTTTAATTGGAGCAAACATTCATTTCTTATCATAAGTTCCAAATTTTCTTACCTCCAAAGTGGGAGATATTTAATGAGGAAAATATTCTTGAGTGAAATTTGCCATGCTGAAGAACTTTTTCATTTTATTTTTCATCTTTTCTTTATTTCTTTACTAAATCTTACACAATTTATAACTTACAAACAGCATTTCAATGAATTGAATGATAAGGGAATAAAATAGTTTGAACAACATGTCTGGAAGCTTGTGCATTTAATATTAGGTGAACAAACAGTGTTTGACATTACATTGTTAATATATATTTGTATTTAAGTGAAATAATGGGGAAAGAGCGAGAAATTTGGAGATTTTTTTGTCCAGAGTCCTTTTAAGACTCAGTTTTTCATAAGGAAATGTTCAAATTTTCTAATGAAAGGCTCCCACTGATGGAGGGTTGCAATAAACAATTTCTGATACTGTTGAAATGCTTGAGTTACAAATCATTAAGATGATTCTATTTTATGTTCTCCATTGCTATGCTCTTGGGAACATAATATTTTTCTGATAACTTCAAATTAAAACAAATGAAGACTTTTTTGGATTGAGGGACACCAAAGCAGTTTTAAGTAATATAAACAAAGTCCAACACCTCATCACAATCCTTGAATCACAGTCTACAAATACAAATGATATAATTTAGAAAAAGAACAGACTTGAATACAAAGATGTTATCATAAGTTACATCTGAATACAACTGTAGAACTCACTTTAGTGTTTTTTCAACAATTAGAAAAAGGGGGCAAAAGAATTATATAAATGTTTAAAACCAAATAATCTTTCTTATTAGGCAAAGAAAAATAATATTTTAATAAATAAGAAATATTATTACTTGCATAAACATTTTGTTCAAAATTTCACATTACATATATATTTTCAGACCATTTGAAAGAACAATAACAATGCAAAAAGACAGTGCAGGGTACATTGGTTTTGTATTTAAAGATGGAAAAATTAAATCCATTGTCAAAGACTCTTCAGCAGCAAGAAATGGTGTGTTAACAGACCATCATCTGATTGAAGTTGGAGGCCAGAATGTTGTTGGTTTAAAGGTATGTGAAACCTTCTATACTTTATCTATTTTTATTTTTTGCGGTCGTATATTGGTATCACATCGTCATTAGCGTCGTCCGAAGACATTTGGTTTCCGGACAATAACTTTAGTATTAGTAAATAGAAATCTATGAAATTAAAACATAAGGTTTATAACCACAAAAGGAAGGTAGGGATTGATTTTGGGAGTTATGGTCCCGACAGTTTAGGAATTAGGGGCCAAAAAGGGGCCCAAATAAGCATTTTTCTAGTTTCATGACAATAACTTGTGGAACAGTGTGTGGATCTCTCTGAAATTATACCACAAGTTTCCATACCACAAAGGGATGGTTAGAATTGGCTTTGGGGGCAAACAAGTGAGGAAAAACAAGGGTGTCCTGCAGGGCTTCCAAAATTATTTTTAGCCAGCCGGACATTTTATATATTATCCCGATTTTAATCCCTTAAGACTAAATAAACAAAAGGCAATTATGGTAATCAGTTGCTGAGTTGACCATCCCAATGATTGACATTGAAAAAAACGATATTAAACTGTCTTTCATTCAAATTCGAAGTTCTGACGTAAACTGTTAAATTGGCAGTGCATCATTCGAAGTGTGCAACATCAGCGTACTTATATCTGCCTTAGACTCTTTATTTGTGCAAAATAACGTTGTCAAAAACTTTACTTTCGTTTTAAATCTAATACTGGATGTTATCTTGACAATGGTTAAACATGGACCAGAGACGGATACGTAAATTCCGTGTACGTTTGCAACGCATGAATGAGTGTAAGTAGCTCTTTCTACGTTATTTCTTCAAGAAAATATTCGAAATAAACGTGAGATAAAGGTATCAATGACAATTTAAGCATTTTTTTAAGAAATTAGAATGCATAAGTTAATTTCACACCTGCGCACATGCGCACATGTATACTAGTTCAAACAGAGACATGTCTCTTGTTCAAACAACTTGGTTATGACGATTTTTCATTTTCACCTTTTTAATTTTTTCATCAAATCATATTTGTAAACGTATTTCTGATAATTTAAATCTTTTTGACTAAATTAATTAGATGCAAACCACTGAAATGTAAGAAAATATTTCTAAATAGACTGATCAATGTCCGGTTCAAAATAGTTTACTCAATACCTGTCACCTGAACAGGTAAATTTCAGCTGTTCAACAACTAATTAGCCTTGATTAAAATGAGAAGGTATTAAAGTAGGGGTTGTTTTGATAGTACTTAATGATCATGTCACTTTTATGACCGCAAATGTGTGGCTGTTAAAGGCAAACGGTTTTGTCAAAAAGATAGCGAATTATGTTAAAATGACTGTCTCTTAAGAAAGCCTTGAAAACTAAAAAGTAGATGACCGTTTCATGCTTTGCCCAGCCGGACTTTTACCGGACATTAAACAAATGTCCGGAATATATGACCGTTTTGGAAGCCTTGGTGTCCTGGTTAATGGACAATTACTTAAGTACAAATTACAGTGTAAGGGAGGTAATTCAAACACAACTTTGAATTACCTCCCTTACACTGCTTTTAAATTATGTATAAAGAAATGTTGTATTGTCCTGAGGTGATTAGCTGTCAATTCATTTTTCAGAAGTTACTATTTTAATAATTTTAAAAATGCTGATTAAGGTAAATTAATTTTAGCTATGATTATGTATGTCATTTTCTATTTTAAGACTTTTATGATGTAAATGGGTTATTATGGTTGCAAACTCCATTGGAAGTTTGAATTGAGATTATAACCATGTCTTGAGGGAAAGAATTTTTTTTGGGAAAAAGGGTGGGGGGAGGTTAAAAAAAAATTGGGGGGGGGGGGGGGGGGGGGGGGTAAACAAAAAATTGGTGGGGGGACAATTTTTTCTCAAGATTTCAGTAAAAAAGAAAATTTCTTGGGGGGGAGGGAGGTCAATTCACAACAGCATAGTGTATTGAACAAAAGCAAAAAAATTGAATATAAATTCAAATCATATAACCAATTCTAAGTTCTTTGACTACAGTTATTCTGTGTCAGAAATCTATTATGTGTCAAATATTGAATTACAATCCAAATTCAGACCTGTATCAAGCGCGAATATTGTGTCCATTTTTGCCCCAACTGTTCAAGGTTGGACCTCTGGGGTCGTATCCAGCTGCATTTGGCGAAGCAATTTATTTTATTTCTTATGGTTGTTATACATCTGAAATAAAAAAATAGAAAACATGAATGAAGTATTTTTGTATATAATTGATAATATAATAAATCAAAATTATAGAAACATAAAGTTAGGTTCATATGCTTTATTTTAAGATACAGGTATTTATTTCTAGTTATATTTACCTTTACCTGTATCTATTTTTTAGGATGACAAAATCTCAGAAATCATCGATGCTGGTGGTAGAACTATCACAATAACACTTATGCCATCATTCTTATATGAACATATAGTTAAATGGTAAGTTTTTCTATTCATCTGAAGTCCATATATACTTCTAGAGATATGGAAGTTTAAAGTTAAGAATAACATATTGTGGAATTCTTTAGATGTACACTATGAAATAATTATTATGATCATTCCATACATTTTTGAGATTGCTAGGAAATGACTATTTCATCTATAAAGGTGAGGATCCTCATTCATCTCTTATGTAGAAATAAACCACAAGGCCACATGGATATTTGTTTATGTACATCTGCATTGAAATGATAAGAAAACATAAAAACCATCTGATTAATGTATAGATCCTGTGTCTAAGTTTTGCCTACAGAATCTGAAAACACTCCATTTTACTTTATGCTCTGGTAATCAGCCAATGAAATTCCAGCCTTCAAATTTTTGAAGGTGTGTATTAATTCAACAAAGCAAGAGGATTCCTGAAAGGCCTTTTAAACAGAAAGTAGAATGGAGCGTTTTCTGATCCTTGTAAGCAAAGCTTGGCCACAGGATCTGTATTTATATGAGATTGACATAAAAATAACATTAATTAACAAAAGCATACATTTTAACTGTGTCTTGGAAGTAGAACTTGGCATCCTTGTGTATCTGATAATTGATGTGTTAAAGTTGTATTATAGAAATGAAATAAAAGGGTATGGGCATAAAAAAAGTTGAAGAAAAATAGACAACACCATGGAAAAAAAAGAAAAAATACTGTGAAAGTACTTTTATTCGTGGGGTACCAATATTCGTGGTTTTCGTGGAATGCTTTATCCACGAATTTAAGTATCCAACAAAATATAATAACTGTTGTCTAAATCAAAACATGGAAAGATCCCCATGTAATTTTGACTACACGAATACGGGCATATGATCTAGAGAATCTTCGAATATCAGCAAATGCACTATGAAATATATATACAGCTTCAGACAGGATTTTACCCATTTAATCTTTTAAAAACTTAAACCTATAACTCTCATGAAAAAATAGTTTTAATTGATGAAAGTCAGACTTCCGGTGATGATATGCGATGATGGAGTGTTTATTGTATCTCGTCATAATTTTCATAGGAAAAAAACCCATTTCATATTGGGCTTGCTTTTTTATTTTATAAGAATTAATTCCATAATTCAAAGTACATTTGTAGCATTTTTAAAGTAACCGTTTTCTTTAAGTAACATGTTAATTGCCCAATTAACACTTTTGATGATCGTTTATCTGTTGATCATTTGATCTCTGGTTAATCAGTGTCATAACTTATGATGACAAGTGTGCAACAATTGAAATGATTACTTTGCAATTACTTTCAATCGAGACAATTTGTAAGCATAGATAAATCTGTTTTCTCCAAAAGCAATTATTTCATAACAAAATGATGAATGTTGTCAGTAATGAAAGACGATCAACTAAGTGAAAATGAACCTATGTCCTACAAATTATTATAAAACAACATATGACTATTCTCAAAAATCTTTGTTTTGTGATGGCTTCAAATTCTTCACTCAATTTTTTTTCAGAAAACTAAAATCCATGAATTTAAGAACCCACGAACATGTAACTTTTGCTCAAAACCCACAAATAATAGTACTTTCACAGTAGCATACAAAAGAACACTATACACAGAAAACTATAGGTTAAATAACAGGAACCACACCAAAACTGGGATTGAACTTATTAACCCTGGAGAGATAAGTTGTTCCTGCTCAACTAATGCCTTCTATTATGATGCTTATATCAAGTAAAAAGGTGGTGGTAATCCTTGATGTCATAAATTAGGAAAAAGGACTAGATAAATTACTCTTTAATTTAGATAATTATATGCAGAAATTCTGGAACTTAAATCTTTCAATTCAGACTATGTATATCAATGTACCTTTATATGTATGAAGATGTTATCAAGTTATATTAAACAGAATAAGTTATTTATTTTATAGCATGGGTAACAGCATTGTGAAGAAATTGATGGATCACAGCATTCCAGATGTGTAAATAACATGTAAAACATAGACGTAGACCAATATGTATAGAGCATGGCCTGTTATTAATATGTCTTTATATTAAAAACAGTCTTATTATGAGGTAGTTGTGGACCCAAAGGCTAACAAAATTCTGTGATAGAAATCAAAATTAAACCTAAAGAAATCCACAAAACTCTGTTAAATCTATTCTGTTGTCAGTAGGGAATTTTATGTTTGTGATTACTTTTTCACTAGTCTGACTTGTACTTTATAAGGTCATTGCAAAACAGGGAATCTGTGAAATATAAATGTTTCTTTTAACTTTAAAACATTATTTCCCTCCAAACAAATGTTTATTTTGTAATTTCCTGTATATTAGTATATTTATACTTTTAAAATTGAATTTTATAGAAAAATATATAAAAGCATGATTTTCAAACAAAATGTGATAAAAATATTGTCACATTATTAATTTGATTGCAATTAGTGTTGTTGTCTTCATTTTTACCTCTCTTTCTATTTTATGGCTATGGGAGCACAAATTGTTTGCAGCAAAGTAGTTGGAATATTTTTGACAACTTTTAATTTACTTCTGCATGAAAACCATGATTAAAAATAATGTAAAAACTACCATGTAATTTATTATCCAGCTGTAAATCATGTGTTTAATGAATGTAATTATTTTGATGTTATCCTAATGTCACTTGAACAGTTAGGTGTTATATAGTATTGTAGATATGTGTGTGTTAATTGTTCATTCTGCATTGTTCTAAAAACAAAATTTCACCAAAATAGTTTTGTGTAACATATTGTGAAAAAAAAATAATTTCATGGTAACTGCATCAATCATTTTCAGTAAATATTTTGTTATTCTCATTTAATAAGTCTGTACCATTTTGATAAATTACAACACATCAGTATATTTTAGTTTAAAAACCTTTGGAAAAGAAAACATTTATATATGTCTTTAAATGTAATCTAGCATAAAATTATATTTTAGTTTGCTAGGTGTATGAAGCACTGTTTGCAGTCAAATGTTTTTTTTTATATCTTTGCAGAAAACACAAGTGTTCTTTTTTTAAACTCTTGATATAATTCGCTGAAATGGTGGTATAATATTTTGTTAATTCTTTGTTATTTAATATTAAATATTTCAATACAAGATATGATTGCTTATGAATTGTCAGTGTGTCTCAAAATACTATTATTCTCTTTCTTATTTATTTGATGGACTTCATTGAATCATTGCTGGCTGAATAATGTTCAGCAGTAAATGCTTCTTGCAAATTCAAGGATAATTTGGTTTTTTTTTATGCCCCTGCCGTAGCGGTGGGGGCATTAAGTTTTACCCTTGTCCGTCTGTATGTACGTACGTCCGTCCGTACGTCCCAAAATTGGTTTCCGTTCTCTAACTTGAGTTTGCCTCAACCAAATGTTATGAAACTTATACAGAATGTTTATTACTACATAGTACAGATTAAGTACGAAATTTGATGGCGTCACTTTAACCGTTCTAGAATTATGCCCCTTTATAAATGGAAAAATTGCAAAATTTTTAGTTTCCGTTCTCTAACTTAAGTTTGCCTCAACCAAATGTTATGAAACTTATACACAATGCTTGTTACCACAAAACACAGATCAAGTTTGAATTTTGGTGGCATCACTTTAACCGTTCTAGAGTTATGCCCCTTAATAAATGGAAACATTGCAAAATTTTTATTTTCTTCTTAATATCAAGTAATTTTTAAAATTGGAGTTATCTTCCTTTGTCCATGATTATAGTTGAATCAACTACAACCATTGCTTTATACAATGCAATGTTTAATTTTGACTTCCACTGATAAAACACAGATCAAGTTGAATTTGGGTAGTGTCACTTTAACCATTATTGAGTTATGCCCCTTTATGAATCGAAAGATTGCAAAATTTTTAGTTTCCATTCTGTAACTTAAGTTTGCCCCAACCAAACATTATGAAACCTATACACAATATTCATTACCACAAAACTAAGATCAAGTACAAATTTTTTGTTTCCGTTTTCTAACTTTAGTTTGCCTCAACCAAATGTTATGAAACTTATACAGAATGCTTATTACTACATAGTACAGATTAAGGACGAAATTTGATGGCGTCACTTTAACCGTTCTAGAGTTATGCCCCTTTATAAATGGAAAAATTGCAAAATTTTTAGTTTCTGTTCTCTAACTTAAGTTTGCCTCAACCAAATGTTACAAAACTTATACACAATGCTTATTACCACAAAACACAGATCAAATTTGAATTTTGGTGGCATCACTTTGACCATTCTAGAATTATGCCCCTTTATAAATGGAAAAATTGCAAAATTTTTAGTTTCCGTTCTCTAACTTAAGTTTGCCTCAACCAAATGTTATGAAACTTATACACAATGCTTGTTACCACAAAACACAGATCAAGTTTGAATTTTTGTGGCGTCGATTTAACCGTTCTAGAGTTATGTCCCTTAATAAATGGAAAAATTGCAAAATTTTTATTTTCTTCTAAATATCAAGTAATTTTTAAAATTGGAGTTATCTTCCTTTGTCCATGATTATAGTTGAATCAACTACAACCAATGCTTTATACAATGCAATGTTTAATTTTGTCTTCCACTGATAAAACACAGATCAAGTTGGAATTTGGGTAGTGTCACTTTAACCATTATTGAGTTATGCCCCTTTATAAATCGAAAGATTGCAAAATTTTTAGTTTCCATTCTGTAACTTAAGTTTGCCCCAACCAAACATTATGAAACCTATACACAATATTCATTACCACAAAACTAAGATCAAGTACAAATTTTTTGTTTCCGTTTTCTAACTTTAGTTTGCCTCAACCAAATGTTATGAAACTTATACAGAATGCTTATTACTACATAGTACAGATTAAGTACGAAATTTGATGGTGACACTTTTACCATTCTTGAGTTATGTCCCTTTATAAACATAAAAATTGCTGAATTTTTTAGTTTGTCTCAACTAAATGTTATAAAATTTATACACCACCGTTCTAGAGTTAAGTGTGTTTACAAATAGAAAAATTGCTGAATTTTTAGTTTCTGTTCTCTACTTAAGTTAGCCTCAACCAAATGTTATGAGACTTACACACAATGCTTATTACCACAAAACTCAGATCAAGTTCAAATTTGGGTAGTGTCACTTTTACTGTTCTTCAGTTATGTCTCTTTATAACCTTTATGATATGCAAGTGGGGGCATCATCTGTGTCCACATGTGGACACTATCCACATTTATTTCTACACTGATTCAATTAATTGGTTCTAACTCACACGATAAATAGTTCAGAGAAAGACCCAATTGAGACACTTTATTCTGACTTTATTCTGATTCCAAGTTGAAAACGTCACAAGTGTATGCTCTTAATCCTATATGCGGCTTGCTTGGTCAAGAAGCTGACCATACCAATTTAAATCTTTATTTGACCAAGCTGAGGTTTGATTCCAATGCCCCAGGTGAGCTTGCTACCATGAGACCCACTGACGAAAATTTGCTTGGACTAAGTACATTAAACATCTAGGTTGGATAATTATCAATTAGAAAGCTACTGAACAACAAAAATATATATTTGGAGGACACATAAAGTCACCAATCATAAAACAGAAACTACATTGTATTGTTTTGCCAAATGTAAATCAACGAGAGCAGAAAAAAGATATGAATGAATTTAACAAAGACAAACAAACAGTATAACAAACCACTATGTTCCAGTGAAAACCACTTATAGGTCTTGTGAATTAGGACAGGAACATATGAAAACATGGCAGCAATAAACGTCTTTCATTAGTTCTCAGTCCTATCTATATGGTCTTGATTTTTTGTCTCGCCTGCAACGGATGGCGAGACATACTAGTAGGTATTGCTTTTCCTGCGATGATATCGTAGTAGTCAGTGATCAAAACTGGACTATTTACTAAAAGTGATTTGCTATTTTCAAAAGCATTTTGACAATTCTCACTCAAGATGAATTTAGAATCTTTCCGTAAAAGATGAGTCAATGGTTGAACAACAGTAGCAAAATTCAAATAAAATTTTCTGTAAAACCCAATCATGCCTAAATATCTTAAAGTTATTTTTATACGACCGCAAAAAATTTTGCGGTCGTATATTGGTATGACGTTGGCATCGTCCGGCGTCGTCCGAAGACACATTGGTTTTCGCACTCTAACTTTAGTTTAAGTGAATGGATCTCTATGAAATTTTACCATAAGGTTCAATACCACAAAAGGAAGGTTGGGATTGATTTTGGGGGTTATGGTACCAACAGTTAAGGAATTAGGGGCCAAAAATAAGCATTTTTGTAACTTCCAGACATAACTTGTGTGTTAGTGTATGGATCTCTCTGACATTGTACCACAAGGTTCCATATCACACAGGGAATGCTGGGATTGATTTTGGGGGTAATTGCCTCAAAATATTAGGAATTAGGGGCCAAAAAGGGGCAAAAAACAAGCATTTTTCTAGTTCCATGACAATAACTTGTGTGTAAGTGTATGGATCTTTCTGAAATTATACTACAAGGTTCCATATCACAAAGGGAAAGCTGGAATTGAGTTTGGGGGTAATTGCCCTAAACGTTTAGGAATAAGGGGCCAAAAAGGGGCCAAAAATAAGCATTTTTCTAGTTTCCAGACAATAACTTGTGTTCAAGTGTATGGATCTCTCTGAAATTGTACCACAAGGTTCCATATCACACAGGGAATGCTGGGATTGATATTGGGGGTAATTGCCTCAAAATATTAGGAAAAAGGGGCAAAAAACGAGCATTTTTCTAGTTTCATGATAATAACTTGTGTGTAAGTGTATGGATCTTTCTGAAATTGTACTACAAGGTTCCATATCACAAAGGGAAAGCAGGAATTGAGTTTGGGGGTAATTGCCCAAAACGTTTAGGAATAAGGGGCCAAAAAGGGGCCAAAAAAAAGCATTTTTCTAGTTTCCAGACAATAACTTGTGTTCAAGTATATGGATCTCTCTGAAATTGTACTGCAAGGTACCATACCACAAATGGAAGGCTGGGATTGAGTTTGGGGTGATGAATCATAAGGGGGTTCAAAAAATTTGGGGGGGGGGGATTTTTTTTTTCATTTTTTTTCCTTTTTTTTTTCTTTTAAAATTTTCCATTTTAAGTTGGCTATTTCTGTTTTATATTTAAAAGCAAATAATAATGATATGGTAGGAGATACACACCAAACAGGATGTGTAAATTGTTATATAATAAGTATTTTGCAATAGCAAGAAATTTTCAATTGCACAGTATTGCACAATAGCAAGAAATCTTCAATTGCACAGTATTGCGCAATAGCAAGAAATCTTCAATTGCACAGTATTGTGCAATAGCAAGAAATATCCAATAGCACAATATTGCGCAATAGCAAGAAATTGTCAATTGTACAGTATTGCGCAATAGCAAGAAATATTCAATTGCACAGTATAAATTGCTTATTTCTTGACCAATTTCAATGGGGTTTTATTCTTGAATTCTTGGGGTTCTTTAATATGCTGATTCTAACTGTGTATTAAGTTTTTGGATTTTGGGCCCCGTTTTTAAATTGGTCCACATTGAGGTCCAAAGGGTCCAAAATTAAACTTTGTTTGATTTCATCAAAAATTGAATTATTGGGGTTCTTTGATATGCCGAATCTAACCGTGTATTTAGATTCTTAATTTTTGGTTCCGTTTTCAAATGGGTCTACATTACGGTCCAAAGAGTCCAAAATTAAACTTAGTTTGATTTTAACAAAAATTGAATTCTTAGGGTTCTTTGATATGCTGAATCTAAACATGTATTTAGATTTTTGATTATGGGCCCAGTTTTCAAGTTGGTCCAAATCGGGGTCCAAAATTAAAATTTGTTTGATTTCAACAAAAATTGAATATAAGGGGTTCTTTGATATGCTGAATCTAACCATGTATTTAGATTTTTGATTTTTGGGCCCCATTATCAACTTTGTCCACATTGAGGTCAAAAGGGTCCAAAATTAAACTTTGTTTGATTTCATCAAAAATTGAATTCTTGGGGTTCTTTGATATGCTGAATCTAACCATGTATTTAGATTTTGGATATTGGACCATAATAGGTGAATGTCCAATTTAAAATTGATAAGTTCTTAGACCACATTCATTCTGTGTCAGAAACCTATGCTGTGTCAAATATTTAATCACAATCCAAATTCAGAGCTGTATCAAGCTTGCATGTTGTGTCCATACTTGCCCCAACTGTTCAGGGTTCGACCTCTGCGGTCGTATCAAGCTGCGCCCTGCGGGGCATTTTATTTTATTTGTAGGCGGAGGAAATTTGGTAATTGGGTCTACTTTAGCCGGATAATAGGTTTCACTTGACCTTGGCCAACTGTATGCCCTAAATAATCAACAGTGGCCTGGCAAAATTCACCTTTACCAAGATTAACAGTCAAATTTGATTGTGACAATCTATCAAAAGTATCATATAAATGTGTTAAATGCTCTTCCCAAGTACCACTACATACAATAAAATTATCAATATAAGCATAACAACAGTCTAAATCTTTTATAACATTATTGCTCATTCTTTGAAATGTAGCTGGAGCACTTTTCATGCCAAACGGCATGACAGTATACTGAAATAAGCCGTCTGGTGTTACAAAAGCTGATATTTCACGAGCTCTCTGTGTCAAAGATACCTGCCAGTAACCCTTCTATAAATCAAATTTGCTCACAATTTTTCATGCCCAATATTATCAATGCAATCGTCTATCCTCGGAATCGGATAGGAATCAGATTTTGAAACAGAATTTACTTTTCTGAAATCAGTTACGAAACGAAAGGTTTTATCTGGTTTGGGCACAAGGAGACATTCAGTGTTACTCTGCTCAATAATATCATTGTCAAGCATATATTTAATTTCTTGTCCCATAAATTCAAGTTTGAGTGGATTGAGCCGGTAAGGATGTTGCTTAATTGGAGAAGCATCACCTACATCGACATCATGACAAACAGCAGTGGTATTGTTTGGCACATCTGGATAAGATTTTTAAAAGAAAATTCTGAAGTTTTTAATTTTCTCTACGATCAAAAGTCAGATGTGCAAGTTTTGAATCTAAATTTGACAAAATTTCTGAATTTTTCAATCTAACCGTCTCTTCCATAGTTTTAGAACTAAAAGATGGTTCAATTACATCTGGTTTGTCATGATTGTTCTCCAATTTAACCATGGCTAAAGTGGCAACTGGTTTACTCTCACCTTCATTAGTACGCTCAAAATATGGTTTTAACATATTAATGTGACACACTCTATTTTGTTTACGCCGACCTGGTGTTTTTGCAATATAATTCAAATCATTGATTTTACTCTCTATGGTATAAGGACCACAATATTTAGCTTGTAATGGATGTCCAGGGACTGGCAAAAATACAAGTACCTTATCACCAGGCTAAAAAAATCGGTCCCTGGCATCTTCATCATACCATATTTTCATTTTCTTCTGAACAGTTTTTAAATTGTTCTGAGCAATTTGACAAGCAGTATACAATTTTTCTTTAAATCTAGATACTAGTACATAGTCTTAGAAGATTCAAGTCAGTGTGTTCAGTAAGCCATTTTTCCTTAATCAATTTTAAAGGTCCCCTTACAGTGTGACCAAATACCAACTCAAAGGGACTAAAACCAAGGGATTCTTGAACAGCCTCTCGGACCGCAAAAAGTAAAAAGTGAACACCATCATCCCAGTCCCTGTCAAATTGAAGACAAAAAGTTCTGATCATGTTCTTCAATATTTGATGAAAACGTTCTAAGACACCTTGAGATTCTGGATGATAAGCACTTGACCTATACTGAGCAATCCCTAACTGGTACAGTGGGTCTCATTGGGGTCTAAGCGTGACGCGGGATTGGCCGATTTTTGTAAGCGTGACACGTGAAAGTCAAATTATTGTCCGTGAAAACGGGAAATTAAATCGGGCGGGACACGTGAAATTACCAAAATATGAGCCGGGAATCCGGGAAAAGCATCATTTTATTAAGCGTGAATCAAAGTTTGTTGTCAAAAAATGAAAAAAGGGATGTAGATTGACTGCCAATGAGACAGATGTCCATCAAAGTTCAAATGAAGTGGATGTAAAGCCCCCATCACACTAGACCAAGACCATGAATAAGGAGTTGACCTCATACTTGAGTGATTTACTAACTAAAATAGTTACGAATGCAGTGAGATCGTGGTATGGTTGGCTTGAATATTCATTAATTTATTTCATAGTTTTCACGTTGATACTGCGATCTTGCTATGATACTGATAAGATCCTGCTACGATTTCGCTACGACAGTAACACGTTCTATAGTGACTATCTTGTCACTCTCTTGCTGCGTCTAATAGGACCTTACAACGACTTACACGATCTCTGAACGCTTCTTCCAAAACCTTCCCGATCGCATTACGATTTCAATACGTGTCTACTACGATCGAAAAACGACTCCACTTCGTAGTCACTACGCTCTTCGTCCCTATAAATATCTCAAGTTGACTTTCCCATTGTACACATCATTTTCCTGGAGATAACTTTCCACTTAAGGTATTAAAACCACCTAGAGATCGGGGTGCTAAATAAAAAGCAGAGATCTCAAAAAAGGTATGCAATTTTGAAATTTCCAATTTGCAAATTGGGAAATATAACACAATTCTCGTGGCTAGGACGAAGTAGAATCGTAGTGATGTGGACGAGGAAGACAAGGGCAAAGTAGCTGCGCATTATTGTCTTCCTCATCGTAGAATAATCGAATCAATATTGTAGAAGCGTAATTAAGACGTATAGTGAAATCGGGATAGTCGCAGTGAAATCTTATAGGCCTACCTAAGGTTGCAGCGAAATATTTTCAATTGGCTATCCCGATTGGACCACGTTTCCAATACGAATACGATGCTTCTACGCCCATCCCGATCTAACTACGTCCTTACTACGACAGAGTTCATACGGTTCTACTTCAACTAGCCTTGGCCATGACTACACTACGAATGTTTTGAGCATATTCAAAGCTCCACGATTATGAAGACTTGGCATGTCCTTA